ACACACACACACACAAACACACTCGTAATGTTATATTAAATAAAATCGTAAAACGAAGAACGATTTCTTGAAGGAAAAATGATCATCGACAACGGAATCGGAATAATAAAACGCTACTTTTTGCACTGATGCACTGAATCAGGTAATCTTTGAATTAAAAAAAAGTAAGGTGTGTGTGGGAAGTACCGATGACGTCACCAGATCTGCATGGGAAGTTTTTATACTTTATTTCTATGCAAAAATGAAATTAGGAATAGGGAAGTACCAACGACGTCACCATATGCGTAAGGTTAGGGTGGGTATAGATAGCAACTTGCATTGCAAAGAGAAGGGTATTTGGGGAATATATCTGAACTCCATTTCAAACAGCACTGTTTATGTATTAAGGTTTTATGTATGAATTTCTTCATTTGTTTAGAAACACTTAGAGTACGGGTGCCGTCAATCTGTTGAGACGTGACCTGGGAGCAATATCACTTATCAGCGATACCCGGGTTTTGAATTTATCGCTGGTGTCTCTTACCAGATAAATCGACAAGTTTGTCATGTTTATTATTGTGGAAAATAGGTTTGACCTCGCAGTCTTTGAGACGCCCCGCACGGCCATCAGATTCGTTCATAACTCTACGTACCTAACCTCCTCATACATTAGTAGTCTAGGCAGTTAACTTAACTGTTTTAATTACTTTAAATACACAGCTCGTACTTCGCTTATGAAACATTTTTTTTTGTTGTTGTTGTGATCGTTTGTATTTGAGTGCATAGAGTTTATAAAATGTAAAGGCAGTATTTTCCCCCTTAGTTCTAAGATTTGATCTAAGTTTTTCTCACTCTTAACAACTGATGCTTATCTGTGATGCCGAAATATCAAACTAGTTTCTAGACAGAGTATGATATGTAAACTGAGTTTATATTCGGCGTGGTTAATACCAGAACACTGCTTTATAATCTAGGTGTTAGCCAGAGCAGGAGTCGCATACCAAAAGCGAAGAACAGTGCAGAAAGTTGAGTGTTTACACCGGATGTGTCGAACAGCGATGTCGAAAATGTGCGAAATGCTCTAACAGCAGTTCACATTCTTAAAGTGTCGTTCTCAAATACAAAACGTGTTTGTCTCTAGAGTGCAATTGTGCATTGCGTTAGTGCTTACCACCTCACCGTCAGTGCTGGGTTCACGCTCTAAACGGAAGAAGGAATATTGTGGGTGATTTTCATCATTTGCTGTTACGTGCACGAGGGGTGGTTATGCGGGCTTAATTCCCTGCCTTTCTGCTCTTATGCCCCCAAAGTACCCATTTTCTCAATCATAAAAATTGTTCAGAACTACTAAAAGACACGCCTGATTTCACACCTTGCTTGCTACATGTTATTAAGGAGAAAGAGATTTCAACTTCAAAATGAGGGACTTTTATAAGTCTTTACAGTAGCAAAAAAAAAACTATGCTATGAAGTGTCAATACGCAATAATTCCCCGTTTAATTTTAGATTTAAAAACTTATAAGAACATTTGATTAGGAGTAAAAGAAAATATGTGTGGTTCTTATGAATTTTTACCCTATGTGTACCAGAGGCAACTCACAGTCCCCCTTACTCCCACCCCCGAAAAAATTGATTTAGGATGCTCGAAAAGTGCCCTTTTTATTATTGAGCTTATGCTCTTGTAACGTACGTACTGGCCATTTGTATTGTACAGTTTGATCAATACATATCTTTTGTGATTATGTTAGTTATTTTTTATTCTACGTTGTCACAGTCAATAATATTTGACTAATTAAACCTTCAACTCATATTGTTTGTTCACAAAAACCGTACTAGAAACACAAACATGTTTGTCCATGTTCCTTGACTTCGTCAAACCAGCATTGTAACTTGGCGCCCTCTGAATTGATTACGTATGTTTGACCTCACTGCTCTGCTCATGTCCCATGGTTTTTGGTTTGAACGCAGCCTAAGTCTGTATGTGAAAAACAAAAACAAAAAAAACAATAAACAACTCTTAGCTATCATCTTAACGCTGCACGTGGGAGTGTGTTGGATCTGTATTGTGTGTTTTTGTAAGTCTGTGTGTTGTAAGCAGTAAATCGGTTTTATGTACTTGTCTAGGTCTATTACAA